TTAAAACTTCGAGGACTATTTTATGTGTTTTTGTGTCTTCTTACTTATTCGGAAATTCCATGTTCACTCTTCGATGGAACTGATTCAGCTCGTTCAAAAAATATCTTTTTTCACGGTGTTGATTTGATTTCGTAAGCGTTGATTTTCCATGGTTATCTGTTTGTTGTCATATCTTCGAGTTGTTGTTGATACACGCCAATAGACTTCCCCACTCTTTCTTGTCCTGCCTTTACCTGTCTGATGTCGCTGCTGGTGACGATGAGCTTGTACATCATTTCAGATGAAGACGGGTGTTCTTCGGGCTGGACACCCCATACTGATCGACTTCACACTTTTTACAAAGCGCAGTATTGTCAGATGTTATTGTGACCCTTTATGTTGTTTTACCACCGTAAGTACACTTAGGCAATGTTTAAACAGTTTTTTACATTTTAACTCAAAATGCTTGCTCGGCGGCTATTTTGTTTCATGGTTTTGCGTTACTGAAGTCATTACTCGGACATGCTTTTACCAATTTGGCTCAAACTTGATCAACGCAATTTATTAGAAAGGAGCATATAAACGCCGACATATCATTTGTCATTATTAAAGTACAAGAACAGAGGGGCTGTGATTTTTTTTATTGATTTGTTGATTGTATATATATTGGTCCTGACGTGCATATATTGCATATACATTATACCTTCTAGATTTTTTTCCTTCAATCTCATACTTGTGATAATAGCTTTATCAATTTAGCGGAAGTGTGTAGCAGGTAGACTAGTATATCTAAAATCTGAAAATGAAGCGGCACTCCATGAATCCAAAACCAGAATCCAACCAGGTTTTAGAGTGAGCATCATTATAGTACAACAAGAATCGGGACAGGCCACGAAGAGCTGTTTCTTTAGTCAGTCACTCAGACATTGTTGGATGACTTTAAAATGAGAAATACTTTTTTTATAAAGACAAGGATTTCAGTTTTGTCTGATAAAAGCCGATGTAACAAACTATTATACACATCTGAGTAACATTATGTGAAATGATGTAACAGATTAAATTTGCTATGAATATAATAAATGCATAAATCAAACAAGCTTTTACCTGTCAGTGTTGTTTAATTTTTTATCCAAATTTATTATATTCAATGTGGACCAACAGAAACTATCAGACCATGTAGGCCACATTGGTGACAACTATTATATCAAAAAAGTTTCTAAAGTCTTTAACAATTATTTTGAATCACTAGAGAAGAAATTGTGGGGAGACCGTCAGAAAACAACTCAAGAAGTAAATTTCTTCGTGTTACTATTTGTATTCATTGTGACAGTCTTCTAACCATGGCAGTTATCCTTCCGGAAAACCTTAAGGCATTTAATGAACTTGGGATTAAGACTGCACTTTACAAGAATTTACCAACAAGAAAATCTTGAGGAAATTTTAATATCCGGTGAAGGAAAATGGCACAAATCATGTCAACTGCGATACAATGCAACAAAGCTTAATAGAGCACGCAAAAGTACATGAGAAGATATCACTCAAGATGATGGTTCAGAAACAACGAGAAATTCCACAAGAGCAAGTTCATCAGATGGAGCAAGGAAAGAAGCTGACAAAACCAAATGTTTCATTTGTGAAAAGGGTGCCAATTTAATGGAGCCCTTACATGAGGTTACTATTCTTCAAGTTGATTATGAGTGAGATGCATTGCTACAGAAATCCAAGACAAACGCATTTTGTCAAAATTTAATGAGGATGACATGATAGCCATTGATGCTCTTTATCATTCAATCTCTCTTAGCTCATACTATAACAAAGAACGATTCTCTAACATATGCGATAGCTCAAAATCTGATAGTGTACTTAAAAGAGTTGCATTTACAGAGGATGTATTGTATATCAAGGAAGAAATACAGAGAAAAGAAATACTGTATTCAAGATGACAGATTTAATTAGGTTGTATACTAATCTTCTTGAACAACTGGGCATCATAGTGGGTATTCGTGTGAACAGAACGCATCTTAAAAATCGAATTCTTGCTCTTTCACCAGACCTGATAGCTGAAATGAATGGACGCGATATGTATATAAGTTGTCGAGAAAGAATAGGTGAAATGCTCCAAATGATCGGATCCTGGCTTAAAGACAGTGGGTAAATTCAAGCTCTAGAAGAAGCCAGATTACGACAAGTGGAAGAGCTGCTGCAATACTGCCATGTAGTCATGTAAAAAGAAGTCAATATGCACATGAAGTTGGTGCTGCCGCACTATATTCACTATATTCATTCCCTTCACAAAAAAGTGTTCTACCAGAAGTCTAAAGACATTCCTCCGATACTGGTCAAATGCTTTAGAATTGGAAATATTACTGCTCAAATTTGTAAAATCATTCAGAGAAGGGAATTTGTATATTGAAACACTTTACCGGATGGGACCTTGGTTTTTTCGCAATGGACAAGATCAACTATTCACGGTGGCTTTCTGTTCACCTAAGGGACATGTTGAGTCTAAGCAAACAGCATCCTGCAGTTTATCAACATTTTGTAAATGGGAATTTTGTAGTTCACAATTCAGAGAATAGGGTTTCAAGAATATCAATTGATCATGCCCACGAACAAAACAATAAGAAAGTGAAAAGTCAAGGCGGGATAATTGGAATCACAAGCAATGAGGTCTCAGGTCTCCAAATATTTTCCTTTTCAGAGGCACTCAAAACCAGGATGGAGAAGATGCAAACAAACAGCATGAAGGAAACAGCATCATTCCAAAACAGAATTTGTGCAGATGTTTGTATCATGCAGAGCACAATAACTGAATTTGGGAATCCATTTTTAAAGGAGTCCACAGAATCATTCATTGTCCTACACACAGGAATATACATCAAGGACATGCAGTGACAAATTTAGACAGGATTGAAGAAGCGGGACGAAAACGGTTTGAAGGATACAAAGAAAGATTCACTGTCAGAGTCTATCACAAAAAATAAATTGAGCATCTTCAACTCACCAAAAGGGCAAACAAAGCAACAAAAGCACATGACATCTGTGAAGAATGACGTTTCATTATTTTCCCGTCTCTTTATTGCATGCTAGAATAGGGATGGCAATATTGGAGAGTTTTTATTTGACATGAAAACCAGAGCACACCTCTGTGAATCTAACAAAACAGTGAATTGAGATCAGGGAACAAATCAGAGCTGCTAAAACAGCCCGAGAATGAATGACTCGATTTCTAGCTGTCCTTGAGGGAGCAGCAGTGATCAATGGGTTGACGACGGAGACCGATATGACGTTTGAAGATTTGACCTCCAAGACACTTACCTCCACGAATAACAAAGTTGTCAACCAAAGCATCGAGATACGGTGTGGTCTTTGATGCATACCTTGAAAGGTCACTAAAGAATTCTGGCAGAGTTCATCATGGTCTGGGACCTCGTCAGCGTGTGAAAAGTAATTTACAATTTCTACAGTTTAGAAGTCTTTTCTGTGCCGTAGTGATAATAATACCCAACTATTTTCGTACCTTTCACAGTTCATACTCGAAAATCTGAGACCCGAAGGGAAGACAAATGGGAGGGAATGTGTTATGCTGGCGTCAAGTAGACACATCCCTCATGTAACCACGAGGAGGCGGATACCAAGATTTTTGTACATGCAAGGGATGCTCAGCAAAGACAATGAATGGACCACGCATTCATTCACACAGTCGATACTGATGTCATAGTTTGGAGTCACTGCTGCAGTGAAGACTGAAAAACTAACAATTGCATTTGATCACGGCTATACTTTAGATACACCAATGTCAACAAGATAGCACAACTGTTAGATGAAAAAGGTCCGTACATTGCCAATGTGTCATACATTTACTGGCTGTGATACAGTTTCCTTTTTTGCCGGGAAAGGAAAGAGATCTGCAATGAAAACCTGACAAATTGCTACTAATATCACACAGTCTTTTATTTCCGTTATGCGAAATCCATCTGTGATAACTGATGAAGACATGGCTATTATAGAGCAATTTGTTGTATATGTATATATAGAGAGAGAGCTGCCTTGCAAGCCAAATGTTGGGAACGATTGTTGGAACTTGTTCAGTCATTAGTTAGCCCAGAGCAATGCGGATGGATCTAAAATGAAGGTGTTTGGCAACCAAGGTGGACAGATTTACCGGGAAGTTGCTGATACCTTTCGTATGCTAGTTAAATGCGGTAGCAGGAAAAATGGCGAAAATCCATGTAAGTGCAAAAAAGTAGGACTAGAATGCACAGTACTTTGCTTCTGTAGAGGTGACTGTAATTAAGATCCATGGCGCCACAATATGAATATATTAACTAATTATAGACAAATAAAGAAGACATCAAATCAAATTGTTACAAATAAGTTACTGAGGATTGCCCAATTTCTGTTCTTTCATCATGACTTTCTAGGCAATCAGCCCAATGATACTTTGCCAACAGTATGAATGTTATTATTAAAGTTGATGTTAAAGTAATGCTCCTGCTGCAATAATATTCAGTACACAAAACTCCTAATCAACTCACCCAGTGACTTTGCATTTTCATTTGCAGACTGCTCTGCTGCTTAAATTTTACCGCTCCGTGATTGAGAGTATCTTGATGCTCTCCGTCACGTATAGGTCTGCCAAGTGTCATGCTTTTATTACAAACTGAACAATTTCAGCACATATCCACTGGACTAAAGACTGTATCAATTGCATGCTGTGGACGATATTGGGGTTAATGTATGATCTATGTTGAAAGTCGACAAATTCAGAGTGCCACATGTAAACACTGGACATTCCTATAAGATTCCATTTCCATACTGGTACAATAACGAAGATTGAGGGGTGCGCTTTAAATTGGTTCATGGATCTTATTAACACAAATAAAAACAACATGGTAAGGTTGGACGAGGTAAGATAAAAAAAATGACAATTGACAAAATTGAAACATATATTCGGCTGTGTGTCACTACAAATTTATTTATATCACGATATGATCTAATGTACTTGTACAAGAGTATATTTAATCGCTGTAGACTTCTACTTCACACAGGTGTAACCAGTTGGTGTGATCTCTCAGTGTTACACCAACATATCGCCCTCTGAGATGACATTCAAATGGAATCTTCACATCATATGTGTTTGCATCCCAGTCTACTTGATCACCACACTGGTTGTTCTGGCTTATATCAAAATTGTCACCAATTGTCACCACTGCTCCATCAATTCTCTCAGCTGAAATATTTAAATATGTTATGATTTAGGTGTACTGAATATTTAGTTAATTTAATCATCGCATATTGTTTTCGGCCAAGAATAAATACAAATGGACACGTGAAACAATTTTGTCAAAATCCTCTTTTAGATAAGATTAATCAGTAGTCACGGCTAATATACTTTACGATAAGGTGAATCGTAAATATTACATGAAACTACAAAATGAGCACTAGGAGTCAATAGATGACAATGCTGTTATGGCTATATTAGGAAAATTGCCTATACAGCAGAAGATGAGCTAAAAACCGACAAACGTTTGAAATTAATAATATTGGCAAAGTCAGAACCATTGTCATCAGTTTGTCTTTTTCGGGATGTATTCGATCTTGTGGCATTGAAATTTGCCCTTCAGTAGCAACGTACAAGTGTGTGTACAACAGCATGCATCCACCCATTCATACAGACATACTTTGGTACTTGAGTGACTAACCATTCCATTTAAAAAAATAATGTTTTTTTATTTCAAAGTCTGGTCGCATAAATTTTAATATTTTGTTTATAAATATAAAGTTCACAAATGCTGTGTTAGTAGAATATTTCTAAGTTTAACTTTAAAACATAGAAAATTGTAACAAAGCAAAGCATTGAATAAATAACATTTACTTACAACAGCAATCCTGTCGATTTGTTATGACCACTTCTGTTATCCAATAACTGTCTCCTAAATCAACTTTCCACCAACTGTTCTCATTGAATCCGGTATGACTACAACTTCTGTTACGATAATAAGGATTATCATTCCCATCAATGGCCAAATTAGCATACCCGAAGAAAGTAGTAGAAATCTGGGTTGCAGTTCCCTGTTGTGCAAGGTGTTCTGGAGAATATATATAAATACGGCATCAGACTGTGAACATACGAGTATTGCTTTGTTTTGAATAATTTATACGGGTTGAGAGTCAGTATGTGATTATTTTTTGTAAATCAAAAATCAGTAACATCTTCAGAATCCTAATAAATAAAGTCACATGGTTCCAATACATAAATCTGAACTCTAGGGAGATATTTCTAGAAGGTAATATGCAGGGTTGAGGATTATACTTCATCACATTAATGAATATATTCATGGTGAAGAAGTAATTTGATGTACTAGGCATAGACTTTACGACGTACAGCCTCGGGTGCTACTTTCTTAGATGGTAAGTCGTTGTATTAAGCAAAATTGTAGCTTGAAACCTATATTAGGTTCCTGTGACATTACCATTTAGTCGATGTGGGTGGTATTCACAACATGTCTTTTCGAACTGCGTTGTTTTCACATATGCATATGTTCTCGAAACCAATCGTAACTAAATGAAGTTTATTGGAACCTTGTCTACATAGCTGTCGACTATATTTGTTGTTTATGTACAAAGTTCGACACACCCATTAACATTTGGCCCTTTTCGGGAGGTGTACACTACACAATGAGTACACATGTAGAATATTGTAATTCATCAGAAACACTAATGAAAGGTCACAATGATTTTTTTTATTATTGTTTAAGCACATAAACGAAACGACTGTATGAAGGGTTTATCAATTATTTATCAAATTTAGTAAACACCTAAATGGTCGGAGCATGTCGGGCGAGCGCTGTGTCATGAATGCCCACCGTCGGCTGTTCTTCCTACGTAGATTGGAAGATTTTTATTTGCAGACTGCTCTGCTGCCTAAATTTTACCGCTCCGTGATCGAGAGTATCTTGATGCTCTCCATCACGGTGTGGTTGGTAACAACAGTTACGACGACCGGAGGCGTGGTAGCGAGCGAGTCGCGTATAATTGGGATCAAACTTCCCCTCTATGCGATGCTTACTGGAAACGCCTGGACAAGCGAGCCGAACGAATCATCGGCGACACGTCTCATCCTGCGCACGATTTGTTCGAACTTCTGCCGTCCGGCAGGCGCTATCGATCTCTGGCATCCACACAGTCCCGGTCCGCCAAAGGCTTCTACACCATAGCCGTCCAACGCATGACGTCAAATTTATGTAAGGCATCTAGGTAGTCTGTGTTACATCCAGCCAATGATTGTATTTTAGATTGTATTTTAGTGCGCAAGGCCAATCAAATTTCTATGTATATTTTTAATATATTTAGCTAATAAACTATGATGATATATATATAAGATTACACTTCCACACTGGTACAATAAAGAGGATTGAGGGGCGCGCTTAAAATTGTTTCATGAATCTTATTAACACAAATAAAAACAACATGGTCAGGTTGGACGAGCTAAGATAACAAAAATTACAATTGACAAAATTGAAACAGATATGCTGCTGTGTGTCACTACAAATTTATTTATATCACGATATGACCTAATGTACTTGTACAAGAGTATAATTAATCGCTATAGACTTCTACTTCACACAGTTGTAATTTGTTGGTGTGATCTCTCAGTGTTACACCAACATATCGCCCTCTGAGATGACATTCAAATGGAATCTTCACATTATATGTGTTTGCATCCCAGTCTACTTGATCACCACACTGGTTGTTTTGGCTTATATCAAAATTGTCACCAATTGTCACCACTGCTCCATCAATTCTCTCAGCTGAAATATGTAAATATGTTATGATTTAGGTGTACTGAATATTTAGTTGATTTAATCGTCGCGTATGGTTTTCGGCCAAGAATAAATACAAATGGACACGTGAAACAATTTTGTCAAAATCCTCATATTAGATAAGATTAATCAGTAATCACGGCTAATATACTTTTCGATGAGGTGAATCGTAAATATTACATGAAACTACAAAGTGAGCACGAGGAGTCAATAGATGACAATGCTGTTATGGCTATATTAGGAAAATTGCCTATACAGCAGAAGATGAGCTAAAAACTGAGAAACGTTTGAAATTAATAATATTGGCGAAGTCAGAACCACTGTCATCAGTATGACTTTTTGACTTTTTCGGAATGTCTTCCTCCTTGTGGCATTGAAATTTGCCGTTATGTACTCGGTGCAACGTACACGTGTGTGTACAACCTGATTATTTGTTGTTATGGCTATTAAATTAATTCCAGTTTGGTTAGGGTTAAGGCAAATTGCATCATTAGCATGCACAGATGTACACCACAACCTAATCAGGTCTCGAGATAATCATACAATATATGTACTATATTATTTGATATAAAGTGGCTCTTGATCTATAGATAGAACATGCAGCATGCATCCACCCATTCATACAGACATACCTTAGTACTTGAGTGACTAACCATTCTATTTTTAAAAAAATAATGTTTTTTATTTCAAAGTCTGGTCGCATAAATTTTAATATTTTGTTTATAAATTTAAAGCTCACAAATGCTGTGTTAGTAGAATATTTCTATGTTTAACTTTAAAACATAGAAAACTGTAACAAAGCAAAGCATTGAATAAATAACATTTACTTACAACAGCAATCCTGTCGATTTGTTATGACCACTTCTGTTATCCAATAACTGTCTCCTAAATCAACTTTCCACCAACTATTCTCCTCAAGAGCAGTATGACTACAACTTCTGTTATAGTAATAAGGATTATCATTCCCATCAATAGCCAAAC